ATGCCTGCTACACGAATTTGAGACATGGGGATGAAATCGACCTCAATTGTGCTTTTGGAAAATTTAGTTTAACTTGAAGCAAACTGGTATTTGGTAAATTTTTAATTTTAAACATTTTTTTAGAGAAAAATTTATTACATATGTAAAATTCAATTATTACAATATTTAGTGTAATTAGTCAACCATTTTTCAAACTTCAAAGATTAAAAGTTTTAGAGTTTAAATAGGCATTCACTTCTAAAAATGTATTTTGCCGCCTTTTATAATAATGCTATTTTTTTCCATGCCCTCGTGGCGGTCCCCACAGGAGATGGCAAAAAAGATCCGTGGGATTCGATCCCCATGGATACACCCGACTCGATCGAGTCGAGGAACCTCAGGCGACGGAGTAGGGATGGGGAGGTCTTTCCGCCTCGTCCCCTACTCCACCCCGTTTGATATTTATTAAATTTGTATAGTTTTATATATAATCATATTAATATATATATTAATTTTAATAAATACTTTTAATTTTATTAGGTTGAATTTACAAATTCCATAAAAGAAAAAATTTATATTTTTAAATAATAAAAATATTAATAGATATTTCTTAAAAAATAAAAAAAAATTCTATATATATAAAAGTCGGGAACCATTCCCAATCGAGGAATCTTTGCCCCACCTGCGACGGGTGGGGATGGGGAAAAAATCCCCAACGGTCCCAGCCTCGCACCATTGCCATCCCTAGCCCCCACCCTCCATCCACTTGACTTGAACAAAGTCAAACCTTGTTTTTTTCTATCTCTATCTCACTCATTCATAGGGATGGAAAAAAATTTCTTCCTACTTTTGATTTTATATGTTACTAATATGAAATTTTGAGTGATAAAAATATAGTTAGTATGTCGCTATATTAAAGATATTTGAATAAAGGGATAGAAACAAAGATTACAATTTTCTACCCAATTTAATTAGAATAGGTAGTCATCTCTCTCGGTAGACTTTGTTAGTTTACTTATCTCCACTAGTTCCACTCTATTCATTCTCGTCTCAGTGTCACGATAGGAGTGTGGTATCTTCCTCAACATGAGAATGTTATTTGATACAAATTTTAGTGTCGAATTTTATCAGATAAATTGTCTACTGACATTCCAATGAAGTGGTGGAGGAAGGGACCCAATTGGTAGAAAACAACACGTTGGAGTTATTCAGCACTTGGAATAAGAAGTAAAAAGAATAAATATAGTGATAATTTAATTATCTGAATTTGTTTCTTCGATTTTACAAAAAGAGAAAAAAGAGGCAAATTCACTATGACGTGCTCGATCAAAAAGAATTCTTTAAACTACGGTATATATAAGCTATAGATTGTCTTGAATATAATTTTCTCAATCATTTATTATTTTGAACTATAAATTTCTTGCCATCCCTATCCAACTTGGTAGGTTTGAACATCTATTTATTAATGTTTTGAATAAAATGTTTCTAAGTTATTGGTGTGAAATGTTGTGGAATATGGTGGGGAAAAAGACGATTGTTAAGCCATATGACTTAACTGAGACCCTAATTTCCTTCATGCCAAAAAATAAAACAAATAAAAAAAAAATTTTGGGTTGCATAATTCATTAATAGTAGAACATTTCACTTAATCAAATAAAGTGAAATCGAGATAGGAGTGAAGCATATGGAGGGTAAAATTGATATTCCTAGCAAACATGATTAGAAAGACTTGACCTTTTTTTTATTTCATTTAAAGAATGAAAAAGACTTGACGGTGGTTGTGAGAAACTAATGGTTGAGCTATGACGCAATGATTTCAAAACATGAAAATTAAAAAAAGGGTAATATTGTGAAAATTTTTAAATTAATGTAATTTATCATCTTATGAATTTTATGTTAGATTTGTTTGGAGGGTAGACTTTTGTTATGGTTGATGCACGATATAGATTTGGGTCTCGAAGTTGAATACTCTGTACACACAAGAAGATTTGTCCATCGATGTTAAATGGTTCAGTTGAGAGAAGTAGAAAATAGAGTTGTGTAAGATGTACCTCGTGTCCAGGCCATTCGTTGCAATGGATCGACCCAATCGTCTTGACCCGAGTAAATTGACCTATGTCGCTTTTTGGTTTTAGTCCAAGTGAATCTACAATTTCGCCCATAATAATTATTAAATTTTCATCTGCATGGTTTTTAGCCTTAAAAAAAATAATAAATAAATAAATCAAAAGAAAGGCTCCAATTAGTCAACTTCCTTTTGCAAAGCCACCATAACTTTTCTATATTATAATCTTCACCCTCAAAACTAAAAGTAAATTTGTAGCTAAGCAAAAGCATCCATCTATAGTCATTCTTATTTGCCAAAGCTTTTCTTTTTTTTATATATATAAAAAAAAAAAAAAAAGCCAAAGCATCTATTAATTGTCTCTACATAACAATTTTTTGGGTCATTGCTGCAGTTTATCAATATATTTTGAAATGACATAATTGCCCATATACAAGCATATAGGTCAAGATATTATCGAATTTTCTAGAGGTTGCAGGTTCAATCCTCACCCATTTATTGAACTTAAAAAAGACATGATTAATTTTTTTTTAATTAGTTCATCAAATAAAAAGAAGTTGGGATTGAATATTCCACTTTAATGGAGACAATGAGTGTATTATCCTTCTCTTATGGTCGGATGTTCAAATTCTCGTACCCCACTTTGTTGTACTAAAAAAGAGTGTGTTATCCACTGGTTTTAGTTCAATGAATAATACACTTATTACCATTTGAACGAGTATAGGCTAATTACCTTTTAGTACAACAAAGTGGGGTATAAACGTTTGAATCTTCGACCTCAAAGAAAGAAGTATGTGTTAATTACTGTTGAACTATGGTCATATTGACGGACATGATTATTTATGATTCTGGTCATCCTTAAATTATGGATCTTCGTTATTTCTTTGGTATGGAATATGAATTTTGAGTTCGAATGTGATCAAGGTTTCCATGGAGTAAGTCTGAATTAACCATTATTTGATTGTTTAGCTTTGAAATTACTTCCATTCAACGTTATAGTTTGAATGGAATCTTTTTTTCTTTTGATGACATTGAATTGACTCCTTAATTCTAGCAAAATCAACATAATTTTAATTGATTATATGTGTTATTTATTTTTTAATTAGCACTTGATTTTTTTTTAACTAATTCCAAAATTCAAATCCATGCCAACTCATTTCCTTTCCTTTGCATAAAGTTCTGTAGTATTATGAATCACATAATTAAGGTTTTGGGAATGTTTCCTACGCATAATTAGAGTCCAATATTATAAGTAAATATCTCTTATCTAAACCTCATGCATTCGTCTCCTACATTCCTACATGTTGTTGTGTATTAAATACAACTTTGAAAATTTAGGCACCACATTTAAGAATCGAAATGCAAACACTGTGATACTTTTACAGTCTCGTGCCTCTCCAAAAGGTCGGAATGAGATTTCTGCTTACGGCACGATTTTGAAACATGAGGATGAAAGTGACCTCAACTGTGCCTTTGGAAAAATTAAACTAGTATTTAGAAAATTTAAAGTTATAATTTTTGGTAAATTAATACTAAATTAGGTTTGTGGTCTACCTATAGTGACTAAAACAGACCTACAATTAAAATTTACTTAATTTCTTGTTGATAATTTGTAAAATTTTTAAAGACAATTATTTAAAATTTTATATGATTTCAATTAAAGTTATAATTACGTTTTAAAAGGACAAATTTTGTATATATACAAAATTTGTTAGCAAGAGATACCTGATTCTCCAAAAACCCATTTCTTTCTAAAGCTAATGGTAAATAGATTGGGTAGGTCAATGATTTTTAAAAAGTGATTCAAAATAGATTGAATCCCGATCAATTTTATCAATATAAACAATTATAAGTTCAAATTTTCATTTCCACATGTTGTAAAAAAAGAAACCACCTAAACAAAATCTCAATGATCGATCACAAACACGGCCTTATTTATTATTATTTATTATTTGTTAGGTACGCGTAAAATTTTTGTATAAAATTTTTGACTCACAGTGATGTAAAGGTCAACTTGATACAGATTTTTTTATTATTTTTTATTTTTTATTTTTTTGCTGCTGATATGAGAGATTCCTGGTCAAAGATAAACAATTGTTGACAAAATAATATTGAATTAGTACAATCCTAATTTTTCACACAGATTTAGAAGGAAAAAAAAAAAAAAGAATCCTTTAGGATTCTGCTAAAGTCACATGCCCCATATTATGATTTTAATATAGCTGAATTGTTTGGAAAAAGAATTCCCCAATTGCATCAATTCATTATCCTTGTTCATACTTCTTTTGATCCCACTTTCTCTCTTCAATGATTTTCAAAAGTGTCAACTCACCAAAAAATGTCACATAGCATAGGAAATTTTTTGATATATTTACGGTTATCTCTAGTAGAAGAATTCGAAGGTAAAATATTTTGGTCGGAGAATGCTACACTTTGTCATAAAAATAAGGTCTATATTGGAGTATGTTCCATCATCAAAGTGCCACCACATTATTATTTTTCCAACGGTAACTAACGTTAAAGTTTCACATCATCATTAATTTTTCGGTAGTCAATAAACGGTAAAATGAGTTTAAGGACTATTTTGAACCATTTAACATTTATCCAACTTCAGAGACTAAAGTATCTATCTTAAACTTTTAGAACGTTTAGAGACTGAATAGAGACGGACCTTAGACGTTAAAGATAAAAATATAATTTAACCTGGAGTTTCAAATATTATCTACTGAAGAAACATAGTTGTATGAAAATGAAAAGTATTTCCTATCCATACCTTTAAAATTGTTTAAGAAATAAGAATTCAGAAAACACCAGAAAAAGAAAAAGAAAAAGTATTACTAGAAAAAAGCAAACCGCCTCATGATCCTCTCTCTCTCCTCTCTCTCTCTCTCTTATCTATACTTCCTTTCTTATCTCTTTCCACACTCCACATTTTCCTCAAATCAAGAATCAAATCTGAAACATTATCACGCATTTTCCTGAAGTTTCAATGGATCCACAGTCCACACACAGCTTCCTGCAGGCAAACTTCCCAAATAATCTTGTTTCCTTCCAGAGCTTCTTATATACCATTATTGGGGCCAAAAGAAACTAATTCTTGTTCTAACTATAGAATATTTCTTCAACAGTGCAAATGGGGTAACTTTGAATTGAATCAAAATAAGGGGATCTGCTATAAAAAATTTAAAAAGGGGAAATGGACCACACCTCCACCTTGGTTGGAAGCCAAAACTGTGAGAGCGTCTGTTGTGAGGCATTAAAAGTCCACAGCTCCAACCACCATGTCCATCATCTTCTCGAGTTCAATATTGGCTGTCTTTATTCCTCTTTTTAAGGAACTTTCAAAATGTGAAAGCTATTAAAACCAGAAGATTTTGCAGTTGGGAGCCAGCCCCCCCAATGTGCTGTTGAATCCGTCTAGATTCAAGATGATCCAGTGAAAAGAAACTCATATAAAGCTCATAAAATGGATGGATCTATGGATCTATGGATCAATGGAGTGGGAAAGTACTGGTTTGAGAATTGAGATTACCTTTTTCTTTTTTCTTGGAAATCTTTGGTGGGTCGTTGGGATTCTGAACCGCTTTTATTTGGGAGGAGCACGAAAAACCAGCTTCTGAAAAGAGTGTACAGCAACTTTTGCTCTTTTCCTCGTATTTCTGTAAGTCCTAGAATGTTTTTTTTTTTAAGAAAAACTACAATTATTAGAAGAGAATCAGAAAATAAAGCACATTTTTCTATATTCTTTCTGGTTTCTTCTCATAGAATAATATTGGCCACTACAGGAAGTAGAAGGAGAAGATGACAAAAGGTAACGAGGGGGATGGGATCCCTCAATCCAACCTTACAGATGAAAAGCTTGAATCCAACTTTCACAAAACTGGTGAGAGAAATTCCTTTTTCTTCGTCTTCTATGGAACTTTATCACCATTTTCAACCTTATGAAGAAGGAAAAAACCTGGGTTTTTATCATTTTCCCCCACGGAAGATGATCTCCATCTAGAATAAGACTTCTGAAATTTGGTAATGCAGGGGAGGAGGAAGAGAATGACTCTCCAATTGAGGAAGTGAGGCTGACAGTGCCACCAACTGATGACCCCTCAGAGCCAGCCTTGACATTCAGAACATGGGTTCTTGGCCTAACATCTTGCTGTCTTCTGGCCTTTGTGAACCAATTCTTTGGTTTCCGCCAGAATCAGCTATATGTTTCTTCAGTCTCGGCACAGATTCTTGTTCTTCCTCTGGGAAAGTTAATGGCTGCAACACTTCCGTCTATTGCAGTTCGAATTCCACTCACCAAATGGACGTTTTCACTGAATCCGGGACCATTTACTCTCAAAGAACACGTTCTAATCACCATTTTCGCCAACTCGGGATCAAACAGCGTCTATGCTTTGAATATTGTAACCATTGTCAAGGCTTTTTACCACAAAAAGCTCCATCCTCTGGCTGCCATGTTGCTGTCTCAAACCACTCAGGTCTGTTTGCATTTACTTCATTAGGCTTAATAAGCCTTTCTCTCTCTCCCTAGAAAGCTTCAGCCTGATTGTGTTGAATAAACTTCCCCATAATACCCATTTTCATGTTTCTGTTGACTGTTATTGCAATTCTGGCATATTTTTCTGAGTAATTGGAATAAGCAGATGCTTGGATACGGATGGGCTGGGTTGTTCAGAAAATTCCTAGTTGACTCCCCATATATGTGGTGGCCTTCAAATCTGGTTCAGGTCTCTCTATTCAGGTATTTTCTTCAAGAACTGAAACTAAGAATCTTTAATTGGCAAAATCTGAATCACCAGTGTTAGTTATGAAAGAAAGCATTTTCAGTGAAATGAACTTTACCTTATCCCAAATATTTGGGAGTTGTTCAGGGCATTGCATGAGAAAGATAAGAGACCGAGAAGAGGACATACAAGGCTACAATTCTTCTTCATGGTTTTCATATCAAGTTTCGCTTACTACGTTGTCCCGAGCTATCTCTTCCCATCAATATCTTGCATCTCCATTGTTTGTTTGATATGGAAAAACTCCATTACCGCCCAACAGATTGGTTCTGGCCTTCATGGCCTTGGCATCGGCTCTTTTGGGATTGACTGGTCGACCGTTGCTGGCTTCCTCGGAAGCCCTCTGGCCGTACCTGGCTTTGCAATTGTCAATATCTTAGTCGGTTTTTTCTTTGTCGTCTATGTACTAAACCCCATTGTTTACTGGTCAAATATTTATGGAGCTAAGCGATTTCCCATGATTTCAGCTCACACTTTTGACTTTTCTGGTAAAACCTACAATATCACTAGAGTTCTTAATGCAGAGACATTTGATCTGAATCAAGCAGACTATGATGGTTATAGCAAACTCTACCTTAGCCCCTTCTTCGCCTTCAATTATGGGTTGAGTTTCGCAACATTGACAGCAACTATTTCACACGTTGCTCTCTTCCATGGAAAGTAAGCTCCACAAACACTAACTTCTCCAAACAAAGCCATTACTTTGCTCACTTCACAACCTTTTTGACCTTTTTCTTCTATCTTCTGCTTTTGGGAATTGTGATCAGAACAATCTGGCACATGTGGAGAAAGACAGCAAGTGCAGTTGGGGATCAGCTGGGAGATGTCCACACTAGACTAATGAAGAAGAATTACAAGGCAGTTCCTCAGTGGTGGTTCTATGCCATACTGGTAATCATGGTGGCTCTCGCCTTGTTAGCTTGCGAAGGTTTCAACAAACAACTCCAACTTCCCTGGTGGGGAATCTTACTGGCTTGTGGGATTGCTCTGTTCTTCACATTACCTATTGGAATCATTCAAGCAACAACTAATTCGGTATGTTCATGATAACATTTTAGAAACATTGAGATAAAAAATCACTGTCATTCCACTTCTCAATGATCTGCTTAACAACCATATGCAGCAACCAGGACTTAATGTGATTACTGAGTTAATTATCGGGTACATGTATCCCGGGAGGCCACTAGCCAATGTGACGTTCAAGACGTATGGGTATATCAGTATGTCACAGGCTCTAATGTTTCTTAGTGACTTTAAATTAGGCCACTATATGAAGATTCCCCCGAGATCGATGTTCCTTGTTCAGGTAGTTTTTTCATTCTTTTTCCTCGGAAAGGGTTGGCTTATTCTAATTCAGACTTCACAATAATGGGGTTAGAACTGGAACTGATGTTCTGTTGTCCATCGACTTGTATTTTCAGTTAGTTGGAACAGTAGTAGCTTCAAGTGTCTACTTTGGCACAGCTTGGTGGCTTCTTACAACCGTTGAGCATATCTGCGATCCATCCTTGCTGCCAGAAGGAAGTCCATGGACATGCCCGGGTGATGATGTTTTCTACAATGCATCGATCATATGGGGAGTTGTTGGGCCACTTAGAATGTTTGGAAAGTTAGGTGTTTACCAAGAGATGAACTGGTTCTTCCTCATTGGCTTACTCGCTCCGGTCCCGGTATGGTGGCTTTCCCGCCAGTTCCCCAATCAAAAGTGGATTACACTTATAAATATGCCCATCATCTTTGGAGGCGGTTTGGGCATTCCACCAGCTAGAGCAGTGAACTATCTGACATGGGGGGCTGTAGGGATTTTCTTTAATTTCTATATTTACAGGAAGCACAAGGGATGGTGGGCAAGGCATAACTATATCTTGTCAGCTGCTTTGGATGCCGGGGTTGCTTTCATGGGGGTTCTCATATATTTCACCCTTCAATCAAAGGATATAATAGGTCCAAACTGGTGGGGACTTGACAGCACCGACCGTTGTCCATTGGCCTCCTGTCCTACCGCACCGGGAATAGTGGCCAAAGGATGTCCTGTCCTTTAAAGTTCTCTTTGTAATGGAAGTCATTGGTGTCTATAGTTCTGCCATAAATGTTGATAGCACTGGTAGGAGACAGCGATGATGCTGTGATTCATTAGTTAAAAGATCGAACTTCATACAGGTTTCCGCATGTTCTTACAGTTGCAATATTATCTTCCTAATTTCCTTCTATCTTGCTCAAGCTCAATTGAACTCAAAAGTGGGGATATTTCAATACCAAAGATTGTAACTGATGAATCAAAATTATCAGTTTCTCAAATATACAAATCAGCATTCCATCTCAACTACAACTACCAGTAATCAGCACAAGAACACGAACCGTTTTTGAAACAATGGAATCGGTTTCTATCACGAACAACTATCTCTCTGGTACTAACAACCGATATGATCTTCAAAGCAGTGTGGCAATCCTCACAAACACGGAGATTCTTCATGATCCTAATAACAGTTCCAGGTGCGGTTTTGATTAATCCGAACGCTACTGCTAACTTCTCACTATGTCGATACAAAAACCTTTCCTTCTCATCCTCTTCCATGTCAAGCATTACCACCGAGGTGTTGGGCACATATCCTTTGATCTTCATTCGCTCGAGCAACTTCTCCCATGTTTTGAATATCTCCTCAGCTTGAGGATGAGTCTCATCCCCTGCTACAAAATTATGAACCATTCCTTCCACCACGATTGAACTCCAGCCAGGTGTCTTTTTTACTCCTCTATCTCTCATTAACTTTCTCACTCGCGCCACATCCTCCCATCTCCCTGCTTCCGCATAAATGTTCGATAGGACCACATAGTATCCATCATTTAATGGATCCAATTTGGAGAGGTGACGGATGGCTTCTTCAGCCAGTTTTAAGTTCTTGTGAACTTTGCAACCACCAAGGAGGGCTCCCCAAACAACACCATTTGGCTCAATAGGCATGTTCATGATGAACTCGTGAGCCTCTTGCAGCAGCCCTGCTCGGCTGAAAAGATCAACCATACAACCATAGTGTTCAATCCTAGGAACTATCCCATAATCCTTAGTCATGCTAGCAAAATATTTACGGCCTTTCTCTACCATACCCATATGGCTGCATGCATGCAAGATACCAATGAAAGTCACTGCATTGGGCTTCATGCCTGTGTTTATCATTTTAGTGAAAAACACAAGAGCATCCTCAGCCTGTCCATGCGCTGCCAGTCCTGCAATCATAGCCGACCATGAAACGACTGTACATCCTTCCATGTTGTCGAAGATCCTACGAGCATCCTCCAAGCACCCACATTTCACATACATATCAATCAGAGTGTTACAAACACGAACATTTCTCTCATAGCCATTCCGGTTTGCAAAATCGTGTATCCTCCTCCCCAAATCCAAGTTGCCCAGATCAGCACAAGCTACAAGGACAGCCACCACTGTTACTTCGTTGGGCAACAAACCAGCCTCTTCCATCTCGAGAAATAGATCAATGGCCTCCTTGGGCTTCCCACATTGGGCATAGCCAGCAATCATTGAAGTCCACGACCTCACACTCCTCTCAGGCATTTCAGCGAACAAGTTGTACGCCCCCTCGACATCAGCTCTTTTAATCAACTGGGCTATCATAATATTCCACGTTATCACATCTCTCTGCGGCATTTTATCAAACACCATCCGGGCAACTTCCATTTCGCCACACAACGCATACAAATTCACAATCATATTCCGCAAGAACACATTCGATTGCAACCCAAGTTTCTCAACATACCCATGAACAATTCTACCATTTCCAACATCCAATAATCTAGAACACGCTTTTAGAACAAACGAACAAGAATAATCATCCGGGCAAACGTCAAACTGGCGCAACCGGTAGAAAAGCGAAATAGCATCGGCAGGGGAATCTCCCTCGGCGAAAGTTCTCAAACAGGTGTTCCACAGGGCGACCTCCGGTGCGTCCAGGAGCTCGAATATCAACTTGGCGTAAGAGAAACCCGAATTGAGCGCGCAAACAGAGGCTACCCGTGAAAGTGGGAGGGAAGAGAGGGGGGAATTGGTTTTGACGAGATGGGCGTGGACCTGCTTCAGCTCAAATGGGGAGTTGAAGGTGTGGAGAAGATCGGGCGTGGGAGAGGCTCTGTGGTGAAGGGCTGGTACGTGGAGCGGAGATATGGAGCAGACGCAGAGCATTTCTTCGTTTTTCTCCTTCAAGATCATCCAATACGGTCAACTATGATATTAGCTCCCATTAAATATTTTGATCTACCAACAGCTTCGATACATAGGTTTTAAATTTCCGTGACACGTTTCTTTTGAGATATTTAGAAACAAGTTTGTTATTTCTTTTAAAACTCTTAGAATTATAAAAAGAATCTTTTTAAATTTTTTAATTTTTGTTTCGAATTCTTTTATTAATTTTATTAAAATGGGTTCAAAAAACGAAAGTTGTTTTCGGGGAGAACCAAAAGGAAGTTCAGCTTCCATTCCCCAAACTGTTAAAAAACAAAAATCATTTTTTTGTCAGATAAATCGACATTTTCATCGTAGTATAATAAAATCGACCAAATATGATATATATCAACAAAATGTCACATTGTCACTAATAATTATTTTTAACTAATTTAAAAATAGAAAAATATTTATTTGTTAATTTAAATATTTTTTACGATGTTTTTAATTTTTATAACTTTTACAGAAATATCTATTGACATCGATATTTTATCAATATTTCTATTGATATTTTTACGAAATTGAGACATCGACATTTAAAATCTTAGTTCGATATCAATATTTTTATAATATTAAAAAAATCGACAAAATATAAAAAAAAATCATTAAAATATACATAAAATTAATATTTAATTTTTCTAACTTTTTAATATTTATAGACATGGACATCACATCCATATTTTCAGATTTCAACATTTTGATATTTAAAACATTATTATCAACTTAATTTTTTCGTACCAAAGTGATGATGGAGACATAATTTACTCTATTTTTTAATTTCCTCTTTAAATATTTTATCTTGAGTATATTTTATTTAATCCTTAATATTTTAATTTATTAAAGAAGTCCTGAATTCTGGATCAGAATAATGGATTGATGTTTTTCATTTAAATAGAAATTATAATTTAAGAAAAGTTGGGTTAAAAAAACGATTCGGGTTGGTATGTTGGCCAAAATTTACCGGTTAAGGATTAAAAAAAATGTTACAGGGTATATTGGCCGGAATTCTGATCATAATTATTTGAAATATTTATAACTTCTCTCTCACGAACAAAGTTCAAAATGTCGATGTCGATGGATATTTCAAGAAAAATACGAAAATAGTGGATATTGATGGAAATTTTTTAAATTAGTAAATAATAGCTTAATTAGCCTATAACTAATCACTCATAATCATCATATCTAATCATATAAGTAATATACTTATAATAATATCGGATGAAATGTTGAAACAAAATCACGTATACATATATGAAAATTATTTGAGTCTGTTGTTTTTTTATTGATAATTTATAATCTAATCTAGTTACAAAATATGTGAATATAGATAAAATAATTTTTAAAAAGTTAGATTTAGTTTAAGATTTAAATTTTTAATAATAATTAGTTAAATTGATTTTGTTTTATTAGTTTGTTTTAAGATTTGGTTAGTTAAATTTAATTTAAAATTTGTTTTTGTTTTAAATCAATTCCTTGAAGATTTTGTTAGATTATTTAATTAAATTTAATTTAATATTTTTTTTAAATCGATTATATGTTTCTTTCAAATTTTGTTAGATTTTTTTAGTTAAATTTAATTTAAGAATTAAGTTTTTTTATAAATCGATGCTTTATAATCTATTTCTTTAAGACTTAATTACATTTTTGTAGTTAAATTTAATTTGACGTTTGTTTGTTTTTTTTCCTTTTTTGAACCCAAAATGATAAGAATTAAAGTTTTCTAAAATTTAAATGTTTAATAATAATTGGTTAAATTGATTTTAATTATTTGTTTGTTTTAAGAGTTGTCAATTAAATTTAATTTAAAATTTTATTTCTCTTTTAAATCAATTACTTTAAGATTTTGTTTGATTTTTTAGTTAAATTTAATTTAAACGGGTTTTTAATTAAATTTAATTTAAATTAAGATTTTTTTATAAATAATTGTTTATAATATATTTCTTTTTTTATAGTTAAATTTAATTTATTTTTCTTTTTTTTTGAAGGGAAATGATAAGAATTTAACTTTAATTTCTTTCAAAGAAAAATAGAAAATGTCCATTGTCTATAATTTTTTATTATTATTTTCGACTTTTCTGTTTGCTCCTCACGCCACACTTTGAATTTACACAAAACAGAAAGACGTTTTGAATAGAAATATTTTTTTTAGTTTGGATTCAAAATTTTCAATCTAGATTTTTTCTTGAAAAAACAACAAATCTTCCTAAAAAACGATTTTCTCCTCCTATGTCGATGTCAAGACCGTCGACATGTCGAACGAGATTTTGAACCTTGTTTACGAATTCTATTTACAATTTGTCGTAATATATATATATATATATATATATATATATATATATATTGAGTTGTCTAGTATAAAAATTGACTTAATCTGTAACCAACTTCTGTCAAAATAAATTTCACCTCCCATTGATTTGTCTCTTGTATTTTTATTTTTGTTATTATTTTTTTTATAAATATAGAGAGACGTTGACAGGTTAAAAAGAAAATTAAAAAAAATGTGAAAATGTGAAGTTTTTGTTGGGCCAGAGACATTAAAAGGAAGAAACGTGAGAGTACAAAAGTACTTTTAGATTGTTATTTATAGCCAATTACAAGTTTTTTTTTTTTTTTGAAAAAAGAGAAATATCGTTAACCCACATGGACATCACGTGAAAATACATCTTCCTCCCCTAGACGTAACAACCAGGGGAATATTGTGAAGCCAAAAGCAATAAGACGAAAAATGCATATAACGCTTGTAGCACCGTCTAACATGCACCAACTGATAAAAGACTCAAAATTGGTGGCAAGGAATTGGATGTCATGGGCTCAAATCCCCTCAGGACCTAATGAAGGCGAAGAACGATTTAGAAGAGAAATTGCCTCAAGAGCATCCGATTCCACAATTAACCTCGAGCAACCCAACGATAAAGCCCCACGGATACCTTCAAGGATGGAAACTGCAAGACGCATCGGTGTTCAGTTTAAAAAGCTCACAGCTTGAGGATGAATGACCGAGCAAAAGCACGCAAGTATTAATCCACTCGCATTTTTTATTTAAATCAGGGATAACTTTGTTATGATTTATCTTATTTCTATCGTTCCAAATCAACCAGTAAAGATAACTACAAGTTCAATCTCCTCTTTGCCAGACAAGAAACCAATATCTCCTAATGAAATTTTAGTTATTTTTAATTAAAATAACAAACTTTAATTTATCTTATTACTATTTTTTCTGGTGAAACTACATATTTTAACCATTTATTTAATATAAACAAATAATAAAAATACATAAACAAAAAAAATGTAATTGTTCCCAAAGACGAAGGCAGCTAAGCATATGGCAAATTATCGGCCCATTAGTTTCTACAATGTGGTGTTCAAAATTGTATCGAAGACTATTGTAAACAGGCTGAAGCAGATTTTAAAAGATGTTATTTCCCCTCACCAAAGTGCTTTCGTACCAGCTGGAAGATTGATCATGGATAATTCTATCCTAGGTTATGAAAGTATCCACTGTATTAAAGCAAAAAGGAGTGGAAAGAAGGGGTGGGTAGCCCTTAAGCTAGATTTGATCCAGGCTTATGATAGGGTTGAGTGACATTTCCTCGGCCAATTCTTAACCGCTGTGGGGTTGGACAAGAAGTACCTGGATCTTATTATGCACTGTATGTCCTTGGTGTCGTACACCTTTTTAACTAACAGGGAGCGAAGAGGCTCCCTTCACCCGGAAAGGGGTATTCGGCAATGTGATCATATGTCCCCTTATCTTTTTCTTTTATGTGCAAAGGCCCTGATAAGAATTCTTAACTCATTACACGTAAGGAAATAAATTGAAGGGTTGCGCATCACGAAGGCTAGTCCCCCTATTGCGCACTTACTCTTTGCAGACGATAGCCTTTTATTATTTTAGGCTAAACCAGAAAAGACAAAAGCCATTGCGAAGGCCCTAGACTTTTTTCCAAGTTGACTGGCCAGGAGATTAACTTTCAGGAGTCTGCTGCTTGTTTTAGCTCAAATACCAAACCGGCAGAAGCAGATTTTGGGATTAAGATACTTAAAATTTCGAGAGTTGGCTGTCATGAGAAGTGTTTAGGCATTCCCTCTTCCTTGTCTAGGAAGAAAAATGCTTCGTTCTCCTCCCTAAATGATCGAATTTGGAAATACCTTCAAGGTTGGAAGGGAAACTTATTCCCAACAGGTGGGAAGGAGATTCTTATCAAAGCGGTGGTGCAAGCTATTCCAACCTAATGCTATGGGCTACTTTCGGCTCCCAAAGGGCTTTATTAATGATTGTAATTGGCTGATGGCTAAATTTTGGTGGGGCAGAGAGATGGAAAAGAAGATTCACTGGACAAAATAGAAGGTTTTGTGTGTGTCGAAATTTAAGGGAGGCTCTTGGGTTTTAGAGACCTTGAAGTTTTCAATCAAACCCTTCTTGCCATGCAAAGGGTGGATAATTCTCTCTAAGCCAAAGTCCCTCCTTGCATTTGCGCTAAAAGGAAAGTATTTCAAGGGGCTCTCTCTAAAGAGTTGTTTGAACATTTTATTGTGATGTGTTGGGCTGTTTGGTATAGACACAATAAGACTATGGTTGGAGACTTGAGACCCAACTCTTATATTGCTTGGTATACTTCAACTTTGTCGAAGAATGGAAAGATTAATGAAGCACACATACATGGCCGAGGAGTTGTTGTTCTCCGAAAATGGACTCCCTCGATTGGCGACAACTTGAAACTTAACTCCGATGTCGCTATCTGAGCATCTGAAATTTGAATGGGTTTTGTGGCTATTGTTCGAAATAATAAGGGAGAAGTTATGAATTCCTGCGAGACTGGTTCCGACTGTGTTCGAACTTGCAGTGATTGCCATCAGAAAGAACTTGTTTGACGCGCTTGAGCTTGGCTTCTTCAAATTGGAGATTGAAATGGATTCTCTTCTGGTTCAAATCACCTGAAGCTAAAAAAACTGATGATTCAGAGTTGGAGATGTTTATGAAAGAGATTTTAGAGTTAACCAATACCTTTAGTTTGTTAGTTTC